CATTTTCTTTGAGGTAAGCTGAAGCCCACAGTACCACGTGGGACTTCAGAATGAAACCGAACTGTGAATATATAGTGCTGTGATGGCCCTGTGCTAACTTCAATGTGTCTGTGAAACAGAAATCATACATTTTAACAGATATGCCAGTGCAATGTTAAATATGTACAGCACAACAAAATTTATTTTAAACTTACTTCACATCATCTGGAAAGTCACCTTGATTGACAACAGCGCAGTTTGTGAGTGACAGCTCATCTGTAGGGCAACGGGATGCTTTCATACGCTGTAATAATAAAATGGTTAATAGAAATATTGAAACAAATAACAAATTCAAGAGACGAATAATGTGCACACTGTACTATAAACTTAGAATAAAAACATTTTTCTGGCTGCTGCGAAAACGCATTTGACAAATAGGTGAAGGATGTACACCCCACACAGAAGTAATTGCATTCGATGCTAATATCTTTATCGGACGTTTAATATTTTAAAAGTTAATATTCTATTGTTTACATGATCAGTGGAACTCACCATCCCGGACATATCTTTATACACACTGCAATAACACACTCTACCGAATGCCGCAATGCAGACGTCAATACTAACTAACACAAACTAATACCAACTGCTTTTAGCACAGATTACCAACATCTTCACAGGATCGCTGGTCTTTCCCCCCAGGTATCTTAATTTTGCTTCGGGTTACGTATATCTGATCGAATTCGCTCACAAGTTTTTTCTTATCCGTCGTCAGGTCATACAGAATAATTTTCTGGGGAAATTCAACGGATAGCAAAAAGTATTTTATTTTCGTAAGAAAATCATCAGAATTTTATCAGGCACTAAAATGAGAGCCTCTTGTAGGTAAATGGTTATTTTTCCACTAGCCTCGAACAGCGCTCATGAGTGACTGTTTTGCCGTCGGCTTATTCGTGCGAAACGCCCGTATCATCTGCCGAGGAAAATCTATATTGAATCTCTGTATATTTCACCATTTATAACAATGGCTTACATGTTTTTGTTTCAACTTTGCTAATCTTTGTTTTCTACATCTTTTTTTCTCATATCCATGACCACGTTCCCCTAACCCTCACTCATCCGACTTAATCGGCATATCCGACGTATGGTTCCACCCTTATAGGTCGGCTAAAAGAGGTTCCACTGTACTATGTTTTGTGTGGCAGTTTGTTATGGGTGGGGACACAAAATGGAAAGTAGATATCTGGAATTTGATTCCAGGAACTCATGAATGTGATTCACAAGCTGTGTATTGTGGAAGAGTAACTCAACATTCGCTTCATCCAAGATAGTAGTGCTCATATTTCACCCAGACCGTGCCAATATTTCAAAACCTGAGGTTCTTAGAACAGAGAATAAATACAACTTGCTTAAGGCCAAAATAATTTGTATTTGTATAAATAGATCTCACTTCATTTGAAATTTTAAGTGTTGTTTTAATTACAGTCCATATCTTCTGTAATTCAGGGATTACTTAACGCATATTCGTCATACGTGAACACAGTTTACTTCTGAAAATAATAAATTCTGAAGGATATGATAGGAAGTGGTCATGACCAATTTCAAGGCTAATTTTAGCAGTTTTCTTCGATTAAGAATTGCAAAGGTTATTGATACTTCTCATATAGCCACTCCTGCCCAACTCCCATCCTCAACTTCCTGGGTTGCAACCTGTTTAACAAACGATGCACTGGGGTCCAAGTCACAGTGGGATGTTTTATCTGCAGTGGTGCATATGCCATTTAGAAGCCTGTCCAGGAGGCTAAAAGGTGGCAGCCCCACTACTGGACTTAAAAAGTGTCAGGCTAGAAACCTGCCCCGGGATATACAATTGCTTTCAATTCTCAAATGACAAATAAAGGACAGATCAAACAATGACAGACCATAGCATGAACAAGGTAAAACAACTGTGGAAGAAAGAGAACTTCCGTAGCTTTGCGACTGGCAATGTAAGAAGTTTAAATTATAAAGAACATGAATTAGACTCCATTTTAAATTAAAGTAATATGAAAATTGCAGCTGTCACAGAAATAAAGACAACATCATAAAGAACTACTGAATCACAGAATTATATATTCAGGTGTAGACAGAAACATCTGTGCTCAAGCAAGAGTAACAATATGGTGTCACAAGTCA